CTGTTAGCGCCATTTTGGAGAGTATCCGCTGGACGTAAACAGCGTATGCTGTTCTGTGTTAGCTGCGTCACTCGGATACTCTGTTTCCGTTCAGATCAAATCACAACAATGTAGGAAACAGATCCGGCGTGACCGAACAGCATACTCTGTTTACGTTCAGCTGATATTCTCCAAAATGGCACTAGGGTGACGCGGAGGAAACAGATTGTTGAATTAAGTCGTTTTTTGTTTTCAAAAGTATTCTCGTAGCTTTGTAAAATTACGGTTGAACCCCTGATGTCACATGGATTATTTTACAGATCTCCTTGCTACGTGTCTGGACTTGGGAACATTTCAGTTGTGTTGCTGTCTATGCAGGATCAGACAGCTCTCAGATCCCATCAAAAATATCTTAATTTGTGTTCTGAAGATGAACGAAGGTCTTACGGGTTTGAAACGACATGAGGGTGAGTAATTAATGACAGAATTTTCATTTTTGGGTGAACTATCCCTTTAAGATATAATTTACTAAAAAGCTTTTGTTGTGTGGAAAAGAGCAACTTGGACATACTGCCAAGCATCTCTTTTGGTTTATATGGATGAAAGAAGGTCAAATGGTGTATAGTGAGTGAATAATGACAGAATTCCCATTTTTGTGTGAACATTTTCTTTTTTTTTTGGAGATTGTCTATATGAATTTCATAGTGCATGTGATCGGAATGTGTGTATGTTGAGTGTGGGAGAATGAGTAATTTAGCATTTTTGTTTGTGATACTAACAATACAATAACATACAGTTTTGTGTAGCATGAATTATGTTATTAAAAAGTGTGTGTGTGTTTCAGGGCTTTGTGGATGGAGATTTATCCAAGATTCAGTATGGAGGAGCGAATGTATCTGGATTTCAGATAGTGGACTTTGATGACCCTCTTGTTGCTAAATTTGACCAGCGCTGGGAGGCACTGGAGGAGAAGGAGTACCCTGGAGCAGACAGCAGAATCAGGGTGAAAGAGTGCAAATATTTAAATGATGCTGAAATAAAAATGCTGTCAGCTGCATAGTTATGGTCTCTATTTGTTATGGAGGTTTTTATCTATCATAAAACACCAAAAAAGACATTTGTATGGTCTTTGTATTTCTTTCCCTTGCAGTACACTTCCGCTCTCACATATGATGCTGTGCAAGTAATGACCGAGGCATTCCGCTTTCTGCATAAACAACGGATTGACATCAGTCGCCGTGGCAACAACGGAGACTGCCTGGCCAATCCCGCGGTGCCGTGGGCTCAGGGGTTGGAGATAGAGCGTGCTCTCAAACAGGTCCGCTCTGCCAACACATTATCAGTGCCTGTTGTCTGTGTGTGAGAACTTTATAACATTTAACATCTGTGCATGTGTTTGCTCAGGTGCGTGTGGATGGATTGACAGGAAATATTCAGTTCGATCAGTATGGCAGACGAGTGAATTACACAGTCAATGTCATGGAGCTGAAAAACAGTGGCCCTGTGAAGGTAACACAGTGTGCATCTAGAGCTCTGCATTTTTCATGAACTTTAGTATGTGTGTTTGTGATGGGAAGAGTAAAGAGAGTCTGATTTCATTATCACTTAATGATACCAAATAATGATTCTTGCACCCTGCCCTGAAATGAGTTCTAATTATATAATAGCTAAAAACGAACACTTCCTTGATTACATATTTAAATTTTTTGTAATAGAATTTATTTTTTTGTCAAACTACCATTTATTTGAACTAAACTCAGTGTATCTTTACCTACACTACCAATACAAAATGTTGGGGTCAGTAAGTAATTTATTCAGCAAGAACACATTAAATTGATCAAAAGTGACAGTAAAGACTTTTAACATGGTTACAAAAAGCTTCTATTTCAAAGAAACACTGTTCTTTTGAGCTTTCTACTCAACATTCATAATAATAACAAATGTTTGTTGAGCAGCAGTGTTTCTTGAGATATTTGCATAATAGTATGATTTCTGAACTATTATGTGACACTGAAGACTGGAGTAATGGCTGCTGAAATTAAGCTTTGCCTTTGCAGGAATTAATTTCATTTTAAAATATATAATGTTGTTTTACTTTGTTAGAATATTTTACAATATTACTGTTTTTTTTTTTACTGTAGTTTTATTAAAAAACTGATTTGTCTTGTAAACATTAAACAGTCTCACTGACCCAGAACAAGATACTAGATATCTACTAGCTAACTAGATATAAACTGATATAAAGTGTTTAACTGATCTGAAAGTACTACACTTTCATTGGAAGCTGAAAGCTTAATAAAAAATATGCTTTTATAAAATACTGGATAGTTATTAATTAATACATAAAGGGTGAGGGTTGTGTGGAATTTTATAAATGATGAGCATGAGTTTGTGAATGATTCTTTAGTCTTTGCAATTCATTACAAAAGACCAGTTCATACACGTAATTAATGAACAGCATTGATTGTGAAGGATGTTTGTGCAGCCAGTGGGTGCAACGCAATATAAATGTGTTGCCAATTTATTCTTATTTCACTGCACACAGTCTCTTTCATCATGTTTCTCTTTCATCACATTCAAGTCTGCAAGCAGTCAGCCCAGCTCAAACATAATTTATTTTTCCTTGGCACTGTTGATTCAGTCGTACCACAGCACCACTGCTGAATAGTGATATAGGAAGCACTGTCAGAGTATTTTAGTACAGTGTTCCATTCACATTTAGGAAAAAAATACATTAAAGTGCCCTTAAAGGGATAGCTCACCCAAGAATCTAAATTACCCCATGATTTACTCACCCTCAAGCCATCCTAGGTGTATATGACTTCCTTCTTTCAGACGAATACAATCCGAGTTATATAAAAAATTGTCCTGGCTCTTCCAAGCTTTATAATGGCAGTGAATGGCCGTTGAGATTTTGAAGTCCAATAAAGTGCATCCAGTCATCATAAAAAGTGCTCCGCACTGCTCCGGGGGGTTAATAAGTGAAGTGAATCAATGTGTTTGTGTAAGAAAAATAAGAAAACCATAATCTCTATCTTCCGCTCTCTGTCGTACGCGAGCACCCTTTAACTTGCCTAAAAGAATGGTTCTCGGTAGGGTTCTTGATTCCTAAGCCCAACTTTTAGCACTTGTTAAAGTAAATACTTGATTATTTGTGATTTGTGTTCTCAACAAAAGTGTGTACTTTCTCTCAGATTGGTTACTGGAATGAGATGGACAAAATGGCCGTGACTAAATCTGACCTTTTCCCCAACGACACCATGGGAATGGAGAATAAAACAGTAGTTGTGACAACAATCCTGGTAAGAAATATTCCATGATATTTACATTTGCATTTAGTCATTTAGCAGACGCTTTTATCCAAAATGACTTACAAATGAGGACAATAAAAGCAGTCAAAACTAACAAAAGAGCAACAATATATGTGTAAATGACAAGTCTCGGTTAGCCTTACGCAGTACACGTAGCAAGGTGTATGTATATATATATATATTGTATATATATATATTATATATATTATATTATATTTCACATCAAGAGCAACTGAAATCACCTTCATTCGAAGATAATGTCAACATATTTTTCTCCCTGCATGTTTGTTGTAGGAGGCACCGTATGTAATGCTGAAAAAGAATTCAGAGTTATTCACTGATAATGAACGATATGAGGGATACTGTGTGGACCTAGCCGCCGAGATTGCGAAGCATTGTGGGTTTAAGTATCAGCTGAGGATTGTGGCAGATGGAAAATACGGCGCACGAGATGCTGAGACCAAAATCTGGAATGGCATGGTTGGAGAGCTGGTGTATGGGGTGAGAAGTAAAACATAGACTCACTCGCACAAGAGTGCACGGTAACACTTTAGTTTAGGGACCAATTCTCACTATTGACTAGTTGTTTATTAGCATGCATATTACTTGCATATTGGCAGTTTATTAGTACTTATAAAGCACATATTAATGACTTATTCTTCACGATCACATTCTAGATCCCTTAATCCAACCCCATACCCAAACTTAACAATTACCTTACTATCTATTAATAAACAGCAAATTAGGACTTTCATCATACATTTCCTATAGGCCTATGTGTGTCATTCACCTAATTCCTCTTCTTTTCACTGTTGACAGAAAGCAGACATAGCTGTAGCTCCTCTTACCATCACTCTGGTTAGAGAGGAGGTGATTGACTTCTCGAAACCTTTCATGAGTCTGGGCATATCCATTATGATCAAGAAACCACAGAAATCCAAGCCGGGTGTCTTCTCTTTCCTGGACCCGTTGGCCTACGAGATCTGGATGTGCATTGTATTCGCCTACATCGGAGTTAGCGTCGTGCTCTTCCTTGTTAGCCGCTTCAGCCCTTACGAGTGGCACACTGAGGAGTTTGAGGATGGGCAGCTGGGCCCTAGCGAGTCTACGAACGAATTTGGAATCTTTAATAGTCTGTGGTTTTCTCTGGGCGCTTTTATGCAGCAGGGATGCGATATTTCACCAAGGTTGGTGCGTGCAGTGGGCGCTAATGCTAGCTGGCTAGAGTGTGGGATGTGCTTTCGGCTTAGTGCATCGACAGTTTTCCCTCCGTTGCCGTGGTTTGTGTATGTTCACGCTCCTGCAGCTCTGGCTTCATATCCATTTCCATTAAAAAAATAGTGTTATATACAGTGCAATTCCCAACTTCAGTGTTCCGAGGGTAAGAAGAAAGAGCCAACACAGGATGAGAAATGTTTTATCAAAGTTGTGGTTTAAACTTTGGTTGAACATTTCTTTTGTGAACATGCACTCACCCAGTTGGGAACAGTAAGATGCACAAGGTCACCGTTTCTAGCCCTCTTGGAGTGGTACCGTGTTTCGGCTGCATATTCCCCATTTTCTCCAAAGTGAAAGGGTTTCTTTTCTTTCTTTCTTTTGGATATTACAGTAAGAACATGCTGGTTCTGTGAGTGGAGCATGTTGGTGTTTGTGTGTGGCTGACTGTGTTTGCTGTGTGTAGGTCGTTGTCTGGCCGTATAGTTGGTGGTGTGTGGTGGTTTTTCACCCTCATCATCATCTCCTCCTACACGGCTAACCTGGCTGCCTTTCTCACTGTGGAGAGGATGGTGTCACCTATCGAGAGTGCTGAAGACCTGGCCAAACAGACTGATATCGCATATGGGACATTGGATGCAGGCTCCACCAAAGAGTTCTTTAGGGTGAGTGGACCAGTGTGGTCCATCAATAAAAAAATTGTTTAAATGTTTTTAGATACATTTTTTGCAGAGTTTGAACTAACCTTGTCGCGTCATGGAAAGATCAAATTATCTGATATTTTAAGATTTATTGACCTTGATAAATGGTCAGGAGGGTCCTCAGTCCGGAATGTTTCTGCATTTTGTTTGACTTTGATTTGGCATGCAAATGTTTTTCAAATATTTATAATATTTTAGAAAAACTGTGCCACTGTGTTTTTCTATGAAATAATAATGAATATTATGCCAGTCCACATAAGGGAATAGTTGAACCAAAAATGAAAATTTGCTAAAAAAAAATGTTACTCACTCTCAGGCCGTCCAAGATGTAGATGAGTTTGTTTCTTCATCAGAACAGATTTGGTGAAATGTAGCATTGCATCACTTGCTCAGCAATGGATGCTATGCAGTGAATGGGTGCCGTCAGAATGAGAGTCCAAACAGCTGATAAAAACATCACAATAATCCACACCACTCCAGTCCATCAGTTAACATCTTGTTCAGTGAAAAGCTGCGTGTTTGTAAGAAACAAATCCATCATAAAGGTGTTTTAACGTTGAACCATCGCTTATGGCCAAAATACAAGTCCATAATTAGACTCTCATTCTGACGGCACCCATTCACTGCAGTGGATCCCTTGGTGAGATGTAAAATTTCTCCAAATCTGTTCTGATGAACAAACAAGAATGAGGATGAGTAAATTGAAAGAAAATGTTCATTTTTGGGTGAACTATTCCTTTAATAAAGTTTTTCTTTTAATAATATTATATTTTTAACGAAGCCCTTTTTTCATTATATTTTTTGACTGTATCCCCCATAAAATCAAAATTAACTTTAATTTAGATTTTAAACACTTGTTCATCATTGAGGTGCTGAATTGATTTGCATTTTTAATTTATTTTAATAAATGACTAGATGCAGGCATAAAATGACATGTCATAGACCTATTCTTGATATTCATGTCTAGAATGAAAACGTTAATATTGCTGACCATCATGTCCTCACTACCCCGAATCTAAATGTCTCCTTTTTTCTCTCTATCTTTGTGTCTTCACTTTAACCAGAGATCTAAGATTGCTCTCTTTGACAAGATGTGGCAGTACATGAAGAGTGCAGAGCCTTCTGTGTTTGTTAAAAACACGGTGGAAGGTGTTTTGCGTGTCAGAAAATCCAAAGGCAAATATGCTTACCTTCTGGAGTCCACTATGAATGAATACATCGAGCAACGCAAGCCCTGTGACACCATGAAGGTCGGAGGAAACCTTGACTCTAAAGGCTACGGCATCGCTACACCCAAGGGATCTGCTTTAAGGTGGGTGGAGTAGTATAACAATATGGCCCATGTTGTTATAGTATCCCACCTACCCTGATGTAGGCCGGGGGTCCCCCTTTAAAATGAGGTAAACTAGGTAATAGCAGTGCTGAGTATAGGGATGAGCGGTAGTGTAGGCAAAAACAGCAGTGTAGAGAGTTACCAAGGCAACTGCAGCGATAGTGAGGGCTTTAAAAAGCCCAGCTGACAGCTGACAAGCCGGTTACCTAGCAACCAGTGCTCTCTGCGAATGATGGCGTAGGAAATGGAGTAAAATGTAGTCTCAGACAAATAGGTAATTATTTTAACATAAGCTTAATAACAGGTTAAGTTTTAAGATTTTAATAGGAAGTGAGTGAGCGCCATAATAAAATGCACAATGAATTAAGATTATATAAAAGTTATTAGGGCTGTCAGATGAAAATATTTGATTGCGGATAATTTCATAATCACGTTTATTAATTCAATTCCTTTTTTAAGAAGTTGTAAGTATAGAGTTTGGTAATCCGTTGCTATATGTGCATTTGCCATAATTAAATAATGTAACACTGGGACTTAATCTTAAATGTGATATTTTATACTTGTTGAGCTTGATAACTAACAGTGCTGTAAGCATTTATTTTTTGGAATTCCACTCATAAATTGTTCCTACTGAAAAGCTCCCTTCATTTATCAGTGGATACGAATTGCAAAACCCATGTATTGGAAAAACATATTGGAAAAAATATCGGTAAAACCGATTATTGGTGGATCTCTAAAATGAGTAATGGGAATGGCGATTAAGTTGAAATGCTCTCTCCCTGTCAATAATTTTGTTGGTTCAGGTTTGCTGGTAAGTGAAAAATGTGTTAATGGCATTAGACAATTTAATTAATTGCTTGTTTTCGTTCCAATTTTGACAGCCCTAAACATAATAGATTAGTTCGCGTGACTCTTTTCCAAGAATTAACAGGTCTACTCTTGAAGGTTTCAGATGTGTTTTATCTAGTAGTCTACAAGTTCTGAAGCCTTTTTTCACCTGTTTTGCTGATAATCAACTGCCATGTGTTCAATGAAGCAAACATTGGCAAACGTTAAACTACTTCTGCTCACAAATAGCTTTCTACCCTCTTTAAGCAAAGCATAGTGTAGTAATGAAAAACTGAAGCTATACGCTTACTACCAAAGTTCTAAAACGCTTGTTTTGTGGTTAGTATGACCCATTCTACTCATGTTTGCCAAATAGTATCTGTTTTATTGAATGCATGTCTGTTTTTAATGACTGAAGCAATGGCCTCTTGCAACCAGACTGTGTTATGACTAAAAGCTATTTATTGATAATGAGTAATGAATCAATGCATGTGATTGGGCACTTGTATTTTGAATGATTCATTGACTGAAAACACAGTAACTTGAATATGAATGCATTTGATGATGCACTGTTTGAACTATGCATGCTGTCACTCTTGATACTTCTAACCAGATTTGTTTGCCTCAACGCTTAGTGTTTTCTGCTAACTGATTTGAGGATCTGTATGTGCGATTGTGAAATAACTGATACTATTGCTGATCCTCCTCTGTTCTAGCCTCCTGCCTCAAGAGTTTGAGTTTAAAAAGAACTCTTAAAGCTCGACCACCTTATATTTTAATGGGTCGTTTAACGTCATTTTGATTGGTTGGTTGATTTGATTGATTGATTGATGGATTGTCTAACCCAATGTTCCATTCATTCTATGCAACTTATGGGGGGCGTGGCCCATTGCAGCCCCGCCCCCTCATGCTGTCTGACAAGTATGTTTTATCGTTTGTTTAAGAAACGCGGTAAACCTTGCAGTGCTAAAACTGAACGAGCAGGGGCTTCTGGATAAATTGAAAAACAAATGGTGGTACGACAAAGGAGAGTGCGGCAGCGGAGGCGGGGAGTCAAAGGTCAGACCCGTGCTTGGGACTTATGGGTAAAAAAAATGAAATGAACAAAATGCAAATGAGCAGGAAGCACTACCAGTGGTCTCAGGAAACAAGCTGAGGCACCTACAAATTTGAATATGCCATCGGTTGGTCAACTAGAGCTTTCAGAAAGACACATCTGCTCCAAAAAGAAATCTAGACTACCTAAAAAAAGACATTCCCAGAGGTACACGGCTCATTGGCGGGCTCTGTTTCTGCTTCCTGCTCGCGGCGATGAGTCTGTGCACATCTGGCACGGCAAAGCCGCGTTTGCCGACTGCCAAATGGAGCGCAGACTGCCAATCGCCACCACGCTCAGGGCTGAATCATTACCAGCGCTGTTAGCGAGTGCAAATGTTACTGACAATAACATAAAATAACATTGGTAATGTTATTTATGTTATTTCCTATACGCGAAGAACGCCAGTAAACCTTGCAGTATTGAAACTCAGTGAGCAAGGCATCTTAGACAAGCTGAAAAACAAATGGTGGTACGATAAGGGAGAATGTGGAGCCAAGGACTCTGGAAGTAAGGTCAGTCACTGCAGGGAGCGTGAGTGTGTGTGTGTGTGTGTCTGGCAGGGCTAGAATGTGTATGTGTGTCTGCATGAAAACTTGTGAAAACACTGTCTCAGTTTGGGCGATCCCAAGCATCAGCAGACTGTGTGTGTGTGTGTGTGTGTGTGTGTGTGTGTGTGTGTGTGTGTGTGCGGAAAAAAAAGTGTGAGAGAGAGAAGTCCATCTGCAAAGTCTTTTATAACTTTTTTAGAAAATCTTGATGGTAATTATTTTATAGAATTTCTGGGTAGTACTAGTGAGAGTAGGCTACATAAAGAGGCTATTACTGTATTTGTACAAAGAGATGTTATATCATTTTTGCAGCTGAACAAGTACAGAGTTAAAAGCTAACCCTAACATGTGTGTGTGTGTGTGTGTGTGTGTGTGTGTGTGTGTGTTCGAGAAGAAAATAGTATGAGAGCGATACGAAAGGAAGCTTGTGCAAAAAAGAAATACAGCCTATAGTGATGTGTGTGTGTATGTTTGAAAGCAAGTCCCTACACAGATTTACCACCGCATGAATCAGAACCTGACCTGTGTATATAATCAATGATGCCTATACAAACAGGGATGTGGTATAAACACACAGTAATGCATGTGAGAGACACATAGCCAAGACTCATTTTATATACATATAAATGCGTACTTGATCCACATTTCTCTCATGCACAAACACGCATACTCATTCCTGTGTATAGGCTCAGAATTTCGTTGTGCTCCTTTGTATTTCTATGTGCTTTATTGAAAACTTGTCCTGTTCCATTTTATTTTTTATCTTTCTTACACTCTCTCTTTCTCCCTCCTATCTCTCTTTCTCTTTGCCATGCGGTCTCTCCTTCTCCCTCACCAATGCTGTAAATGTTGTTTGTATATTTGCCTTTTACTTCAGCTGTCTTTAATTGCAATTCTGTAGGTGGCGTCTTTTTTCCTTCTTTATGTGCACACACTGCACCGTATTGTCCTGTTGTACTTTTGTAGCCGTCTATGTATTTTACTGTTACTAGACACTCACATATAATACACACTTAATACTGTACTGTTTTTGTAGCGCAATTACCTTTACAGTCGTAGTCTGTCAAGTATACAGTGATAATCAGTAGTATTGGCATACTGTCATCCTTTCTCTCCCTTATCTTTGACTTTTGATCTTCAACCCCTTGCAGGAGAAGACTAGCGCCCTCAGCCTGAGTAATGTTGCGGGCGTCTTCTACATCCTGGTGGGTGGCCTCGGGTTGGCCATGCTGGTCGCTCTGGTGGAGTTCTGCTACAAGTCTCGCGCGGAGGCCAAACGCATGAAGGTTGCCAAGACTCAGGCTCTAAATCCCTCCTCTTCCTCGCAGAATTCTCAGAATTTTGCTACTTATAAGGAAGGGTACAACGTTTATGGGCTGGAGAGTGTTAAGATCTAGTGGGGTAGGAACGGCAGAGGCTTTATTTTTGTCGTTTGTTCACTGTTTTTTTGTCATTTTTTTATCGTATGCCAAATGCTTCATCGCCACTGCACGATTCTCCAGGCATCACGCTGACATGCATTTGTCAAAGATTTAAAGGGTTCGTATCAAAATTTGGGTGATATCATAGTTGGGTGAACTATCCCTTTAATTTCAGCCCGTAATTTAGTTTTCCGTCTCTCTTTCTAACTCTCTGAGAATTAAATGGGGCCTTTTTTCCAACATAAAATCTAAATGGACCCTATTTAATTAAAGAATGTTTCCGGTCTTACTGTGACCGATTCAGTATTTTATTTTACGAAAAGATTTTGTGAAAAACAAAAATGCCCATCATTCATAACAGCCTTTTTGCAAAGTCTACATTACACTGCGACAGATTTACAAGGAAGTTTTCAGTTCTCAAACTTCACATAGTTTCATATATCAAAAGATGAAAAACTATTTTTTTTCACGATGGGACCTCTTTAAAAATACAGCATCACACAAGCAGTTGCTTGACTGTACAGTTTTGTTAAATTGTGACTACACGCACATCTTATGTGATCAAGATTGAAGATTAAAGAAATGAGGTAAATGTAAACAAAGGATGAACAGAGGGAGAATAAAATGTATGGCTGGAAATAGAAGATGTATGGTTCCTAGAGAAATTAATTTGACCTAATTTTCTGCTTGTTTATCATCATTGTGGTTGTTTGTGGATTGGCTGCATCACTTGCTTTTGATATAAAGCTCCGCCATCTTTGAGCGAGACCCATTAGCTGTCAATCATTCTCCACCCCATCTGCTCTTCATAAACATTTACAGTTATGTACAGATGTTAAATATGTATATATAATATTATCTGTATTTCTAAAAATATATGCACTGTAAAACATTAACAAATGTTTTTATTTTTTCTCTTTCTGTCTCCATGTGTGTGAATTTGGGTGTGAATCGCTGTGCATTTCTACATTCTGTTTGTGTGGGTGTGTGTTTGGTAACAGATGACGTTCACAGATGCTATGCGCAGTAAGGCCAGGTTGTCTATAACGGGCAATACAGGAGAGAACGGGCGAGTGCTGACTCCAGACTTCTCTAAAGCCGTCCATGCTGTGCCGTACCTGAGACCTGGCATGGCAATGCCTGTGAGTGTGAGCGAGCTGGTTGATTAGAGGCCCTTTCAGCTGAGTGCTTTAACTCTCATCCAGTGACCATACAACATCCAAAAGTCTAACATTATTAACTGTAATGGCTGATCCTATAGACCAGGGGTTCTCAACCCTGGTCCTGGAGGGCTACTGTCCTGCAGAGTTTTGCTCCAACCTTGATCAAACTCACCTGCCTGTAGCTTAATAAAAATAATCTTAATTAGCTGGTTCAAGTGTGTTTGATTAGGGTTGGAGATAAAGTTTGCAGGACAGTGGCCCTCGAGGACTAGGGTTGAGAAAGTCTGCTATAGACATTCCCTTGGCCCATCAAATAATCAATTTTCATGTAAGTTTTCATGTAAGGCCAATGATGCACTCATTCATTTTTATGGTGGAAGCTGTTTGTGACCATGATTAGTTGTGAATTGTGTTTGTAGTCTGACCACTTTAAATTAAGATTACTGGAAATATTCTAAAATAATGTTTAAAAAATGAATTGTAAAATAATTTTACTTTAAAGCACTGAGTGGTGTTTGGCTTTTGGCTGTCACTTGCAGCCACTGCTTTAAAAAAAACAAAACTCTTCAGGAAACCTGAACACACACAATGTGATTTCTGATAAAACCCCTTTGATTCACCCCTTTGATTCTTTGTTCCGATTTCTTAGGTCACCTATTTCAGGGATATCTATCAGATAGTAGGGATATTTTTGTATTTTACCTGATCAGCAGTCTTCCCCATGATTGTGTAGCCTAGTGAACCAAACTGAGAGGCCATTTTGAAGGCTCAGGAAACCTTTGCAGGTGTTTTGTGTTGATTAGCTGATTGGCATGTCACCATATTCTCATTTGTTGAGATAGTGAATTGGTGGGTTTTTGTTAAATGTGAGCCAAAATCATCACAATTAAAAGAACCAAAGACTTAAACTACTTCAGTCTGTGTGCATTGAATTTATTTAATACACGAGTTTCACAATTTGAGTTGAATTACTGAAATAAATGAACTTTTCCACGACATTCTAATTTATTGAGATGCACCTGTAATCGTTCAAAGTCTACTTATGTTGCCAAAATACTGTAGAATTGTATTCAGTGTTGATTCTAAGGACTCTGGGGGTCCAGAAAAAAAAGTTGTTAGAATAATAACTTGAAAATGTTTTCAGTTTAAAAATTTTTTTTTTTACAAAATATGTATGTGTATTTGTATTTTTTTTTACGTATTCACATTTATTTATTCATTCATTTTGGAAACAATTATTACCCAAAATCATGGGAAATTTGAGTCTTCATGTCCTTTGCAGAGGACATAAAATAAATCAGTGTTCAATAAATCATATCCTGCTTTGAAAGCACACTAAAGAGAGGAAGTTTGCTAATATTTCATTCATTTTCAGTTAACGCTACTGTGTATATGTGCAGGCATGTTTTTCCAATGGATTCTGTGTGCTGCTATATGGACAGTCTCCCTCGTGGTGAACATCATTCTAGATAGTCCAAAGTTTTGGCCTCTTGTTATGCTTGGAGGAGCAATCTGGGCTACTGGTAACATCTAATTACTTAATATGTCAATATAATTTGATAATTACTGCTTGACAAAAATAGTAAATACACCAGCAATTATCAGATCTATTCTTGAAAGACTGTCTCATTTATATTTACTGAGGATACAGTGTGAAATTCTGTCTGATGTTTGTGTGTTTTTGCTCTAGGTAATATAACTCTAGTTCCTATCGTAAAGACTATTGGGCTTGGTCTTGGTCTTCTTATATGGGCTTCATTTAATCTGCTTTTGGGTTGGGCCAGCTCTCGGTAAGCAAAATCTCATTTCAGAATCCAGTTATTAGCAGAATAAACACACACACACTGATTCTTGCTGCTGATTTTAGGTTTGGTTGGTTTGGTATTGGTGCTGAGACTGTTTCCAAACCAGTACTGAACTTCTGTGGAGCAGGTCTTTGTTTACTTGGGTAAATGTGCATGCATTCATTTTCATATTCTTTTTTTCTTTCAATTTCAGAATGTGATGCTACTTGTAAGTCTCATTATTTTAAATAATGTCTGTTCTCTTCTTTTTCCTCCACCCTTTTTATTTCCTTCATTTTTGTATGTTTACAGTGCCATCGTTTTTTTCTTTGTGAAGACTGATGTTCAAAGATCTGCAACATCTGAAGAAACACCATTACTAATAGACCATGTATGTTGACATATTTAATAAATGTGCTTATAAAATCTCATTTTTTTTTCAGGGGGACATGGTGATGGGGTAAAAAAAAAAAAAAAGAGATGAGGGGAAAAAAAAAAATTCAAAAAACTTTGTGTTTCTTTGTGAAGTTTCTCAGAGGTCTAAATTACTTTTTGCGTTCCCCTGAGAAACTTTGCATTTGCCCATAAAACTGTTCATCAGCGAACGCAAAGTTCCTCAGAATGCAACATTTTGAGAGCTAACAAAATGTTTCTCAGAGGAACAGAAAAGCATTTAAATATATTTTTTCCATTACCATGTTCCTTTAGAAGCTCTGTACATTCTTGAATATTTTATGTTCGAATATTCCAGCTAACTAGTTTTATCAATTTTATCCGAAGACTGTGAACTCTGACTCTGTGGTAGCAACAGATGATTCCTGGGTGGATGCATTAACACCACGCACCAAACGTCTTGTGTATGTACACATCACACTTACGTGACCCGTTACACACTTTCCTAACACTTTACATAATATGTGAATATAGATGAATAATTTAAGTCGTCATGCACCATCAGCATCAATGTTTTACAGAAACACAACATCAAAAAAACCAACCTTTTCATGACTAAATGTTTTTGTACTACTAGCATATAGTATCAACCACAATAAATTCATAATTAAAATATACGAGTATCCACATACTGTATCTAACAGAAAAATGCATTTCTAAATATGTTTATAAATGTTGCAGTGGAACGTTTGTCGCTGGACTGCTGTACGGAACATCATTTGTTCCAGTTCTGTACATTAAAAACCATGCATCTGATCCAGACAGCCAGTACAGTGGGGCTAGCCAGTTTGGTAAATCGAGATTACCTCATTATAAACATTGGTTGAATTCTTAAATATGAACTATGATGTATTTTCTGTGTTTGTACGTAGATCTGGATTACGTCTTTGCACAATATAGTGGGATTTTCCTCACTAGTACAGTGTATTTCGTCCTGTACTGTGCCATCAAAAAAACAAACCTCAAGTTTTTCCTAAAGCAGTGCTGCCAGGTAACAGCATCACTTCAATTTAAAGGAACAGTTCACCCAAAAATTAAAAATTTTCTGGAAAATATACTGACACTCAGGCCATCCAAGATGTAGATGAGTTTGTTTCTTCATCGGAACAGATTTGGATAAATGTAGCATTGCATCACTTGCTCACCAATGGATGCTCTGCAGTGAATGGGTGCCGTCAGAATGAGTCCAAACAGCTGATAAAAACTTCACAGTAATCCACACGACTCCAGTCGTGGTTTGAAGTTAAAAAAACATTTTAATGATGGATTTGTTTCTTACAAACATGCAGCGTTTCACTGAACAAGATGTTAACTGATGGACTGGAGTGGTGTGGATTACTGTGATGTTTTTATCAGCTGTTTGGACTCTCATTCTGACGGCACCCATTCACTGCAATGCTACATTTCTCCAAAGAAACAAACTCATCTACATCTTGAATGGCCTGAGAGTGAGCACATTTCAGCTATTTTTTTTGGCTGAATACTCCTGTAATTCGCATTTCCTTTAGAATTGTGTATCTTTCTTCCACATACCTTGATGTATTGTATAGAATGACATGTATACCTTGTAGGTTTCCTTTCTGGTATCATGTGGGGTGTAGCCACGTGCTGCTGGTTCCTGGCCAACAATTACCTCGGTGCTGTAGTGAGCTTCCCTATTATCACCACAGTGAGTGACAGATCTCAAAAGAATGCATGTCTTTATGTACTTTCCACATGTTTTCCAATAATGTGCATTTGGTTCATTCCAGGTTCCTGGATTGATTGCAGCTCTTTGGGGTGTTGTAGTGTTCAAAGAAGTGAAGGTAAACTTGTGTGTGTGTGTGTGTGTATGAGTTGTGTTCCTGCTGTCTATTGCTTTTACCTTTTTGTATTGAACTCTTCATCTCCTCCTCTCTCTCCCTCAGGGTTAGCGAAATTACATTGTCCTCATCGTTGCTTTCTGTCTTGTTCTATCTGGGGCATTATTGACCGCATTTTCAAAGATTTAACCCTATTTTTAGACAACGGCAAGAAATGTGAAGAAAAAAACTTAAGTTGAGTTAACACTTAAGTTTTTCTTTAAAATCACTTCTGCTGTTTTAAATAGTTTGAATACTGCAAATGAAAAAGATTTATCATGCAGCTGAACATACTGAAGTGAAACAATATAGTTTATATCAGGGAGGGATATGGTCCTAAAATAGATAAGATACTTGAAATGTTTTAGCAATATTAGCACAGATGTTATGTTAATGTTATTGGGAACACAATTCAGTATATTTGTGTTGTATTTGCAGTAACATACTTTAAAAAAAAAAAGAAGTCGGTTAGCGAAATTACATTGTCCTCATCGTTGCTTTCTGTCTTGTTCTATCTGGGGCATTACTGACCGCATTTTCAAAGATTTAACCCTATTTTTAGACAACGGCAAGAAATGTGAAGAAAAAAACTTAAGTTGAGTCAACACAAGTTTTTCTTTAAAATCACTTCTGCTGTTTTAAATAGTTTGAATACTGCAAATGAAAAAGATTTATCATGCAGCAAAACATACTGAAGTGAAACAATATAGTTTATATCAGGGAGGGATATGGTCCTAAAATAGATAAGATACTTGAAATGTTTTAGCAATATTAGCACAGATGTTATGTTAATGTTATTGGGAACACAAATCACTATATTTGTGTTGTATTTGCAGTAACATCCTTTTTTTTTTTTTTAAAGTAATGTTTACACTATAATGGACCTCATTTCACTGTATGTTTGCACATGTAATTTATGTTTGATTATTTATTTATATATATATGACAATGAAGCCTATTTTAAAACCATTTTTAAAAGATTTTGCATGACATTTTCATGAGTTTTGCACATTTTACCTTGTTTTTCTTTAAGTTTTTGTATTTTCAATTATTCCTAATGGTGATTCTCGGTACTGTAATACAGTATTTTTATTTTACTGTAAATTACATTTAAATACTGCAGTGCAGTGATAATATTTACTTTTTTCAAGTTACAGTAGTTTTTTTTTACATTTGCAATGATATTGCATTACAATATTACAGTACAATAAATTTAATGTAAATATATTACAATACAAATAAATGTTGTGAATGTCACCATGCAAAAATGTTCATGGTTTTAAGAGTAGGCTTTGTTTTCTTGTATATAATCTCTAAGTATGTTATGTAATTTCTTTTTTTCCTTTCTTTTGATTTTGTAATGAAAGTCATGAAATTATAATGTCCTTTTGGCGTGTTCTTTATTTGTGGGTAGTTGGAAAATTAAAAATGTGTGCTTGTGTTCATTCTCTTTTTCCACCTGATCTGGTTTCTGTACAGACAGCTGCAGTCTTTTCTGAAGGAAGAAACATTCAGTCTGTCTGGCTACATCCAGAAACTTCTGTATACACTGATCCACCCCTGAAATGCACAACACGCAAAATCACAAAGGCAAGACTTTACAGGTAAAACCATTGTTTGTTTTTTTCATGCATTGGTCAATTTTGAGATTTCGGGCTATTTCATCTTTTATAACGTGTCTTCCTTCAGATTAGTGAGAGACCGAGAGAGAGAAATATTACCAGTCCTAATTTCTTCCTGGTCTGTTCCATTCACATAATCTTGACTGACAAGAGATGCAAAACACGCCTGTGATAATGAAAAACATTAGAGGACGGATGATTAAAAGACAAACTCTAGAATAACACCACCACTGATTATATAGACTAAAATATGAACTAATAACAACTCCAGTGACAATGTAATGGACATAACTGACACCGTTTCGATCAACAACCAAGCAAACAATTCATTTCTACTGCATGCATAAAACATGTACTTATATAAAATAAGTATATATTCATATTAAATATAAAAAAAGCGTGAATAATAAGCTGATCTATCTAGAAGCAGTCAATATTGTACAGAAAACCTATCACTGGCACGTGAGCAGCAGCAGCAGTTTTCTCGATCTCCTCACCTCGAAAGAAGCTTCCAGTTCATCTACTAATGTGTTGTTTGTCCCTCTATTACCGGGAGGACCTGTGAGGAGCCCTGGCTGGCCTGTAGATGCATGAGGTCCAGGAGGCTGCTGACCAGGAAACATTCCGCTCATAGACGCCATTTCTCCACTAACAACAACTCGTCTTCTTCGTGTGCGTCAGAAGACGCGGCAGGCTATTGAAGGTGTGAAGTATCGCCACCTACTGCACAGGACGAGCAACGCAATTGTTCTTCTTCTTCTGATGTTTATTGGCGGTTTTGGCTAACCAACTTAAAGGTGCATTACCGCCACCTACTGATCTGGAGTGTGGAGTGAACAGATTTGGTAGAGAGAAGGATATTAAAAAAATTAATCCACATTTTATATTCTTTCTATATTTCCTGCCTTTTTTTTTTTTTTTTTAGATAATTGAACACTTCTTCTTTCATTCTTGATTGCATTTGTCTATTCCCAAGTAATATCATGAGTGATACTTTATCATGTCCCATCAAACCTAATTTATGATTAAGTTGATTTCTTTCTTTCATATGCATCACATTCTAGAAGAATGTGCTTTACTGTTTCTGGATTCCCACATTTATCACATCTTCCATTTTCATGCTTCCCTATTTTGTGTCAATTGAAATTTAAAGCTGAATGTCCAATCCTCATTCTTGTTATAATAACATCTTTCTTCCTACTCCCACATACCTACTCTCTTCACATACACGCCCCTGTATCTGGTAAAGATGCCTTCCTTTTATTCCACTATCCTATAACTTTTGCCATATCTTTCTTACTTCAATTGATCTAATTCTCTTGATTTCAGATTTGCTAATTGCTATATTAATTTCACTATGTGAGTGCTTCAGAGCCATCTTAGCCAAGCAGTCCACTAACTCATTCACTGAAGGCTAACTCATCCTCACTCTCGTCACATGGAAGAGCCTACTATGCACTCTTCCGTATAATATTGCTGTATTCATTTTCTGAAAATAAGTCATTTTGTTATTTATACATAAATACAACTATACTACAGTAAGCACTTCAAATAAATAAATAACTGCAATCATATTATTGATGCTACTATCTATAAAAAATCCCAATGGGGAAATACATTACTGTAATTCCACTGTGGTACAGCATTGAATAAAAATATCTAATTTACTTAACAAAGATTGTACAAAAAAATCCACTTTGAAAAGAGATGTATAGAAATGAGGTTAATGTAATATGTAATGTTATATTTTAAGGTTGAAAGGGTAATGTACATAAAAAGGATACATGTAAAATGTCTCCAAGACAGATTGGATAACACAATGAAAAAAGTTGAAATCTAAGCTGCCCAAACGTCATATCTGTTACTGATTCTTATTCTGTATCCATAGTGACCTGAAAACCAGACTTTGTATTTCAGCTTCGTGCCATTGCACATTGCTCATTACACACACACACACACACACATGGATGAATAACAGCTCAAAATTCACTCTTTTCACCTCTCCACTGACTTGGGCCTCTTAAAGAAAACTTGAGCAAAGAACCAGCAGGCAGATACAAACTGACAGTCCGCACAAACAGGTCAACAAGAAAGTTCACTGACATTTAAAAGAGCTTGAGCTCCAGAGCTATACGTCTAATAAAATTGGCAGAAATATCTATAGAGCATCTGTCTAGTTGTCATTAAGTGTTAGAAGAGTGTTTCAAAGCCTCTTCAGTGACCCGTGGGTTTCCAGTAATCTACTTCATGTTTAATGTCAAAAAGGAAAAGAAAGAAAGAAAATACAATGATAGAAAACATTTCTGGAAGAGCTAGTGAACCTTTGAAGTAGAGTAAATCTCTTCAGTTGTTTTGCATCATTACAGTATATATAAGGAAATATTGACTTTTATCCATAAACATGCACTTGAACGCACTTTTATTCACTACTTTCTTCCACCAGGTGGCGCTGCTCTGTTCAATAAGAGAGATTTCACGGGGTGTATTGGAACTAATTCCACAGCTTTTGTCAGGTAGGTTTATTTTTAAACGCCAAATTCTGAGACCTTAAAGTCTTGGCTACAAAAAGATACCGAACATTTCTACTTTTCGCCTATCGTTCAGAAACTAAAAAAAACACTATTTACAAAGCAGCTAAAATGTGACATGACATGTGGCCAAGTATGGTGACCCATACTCGGAATTAGTGCTCTGCATTTATCCCATCCAAAGTGCACACACACAGCAGTGAACACACACACCCAGAGCAGAGGGCAGCCATTTTTTTGCTGCGGCGCCCAGGGAGCAGGTGGGGGTCCCTGGCTCAAGGGCACCTCAGTCGTGGTATTGAAGGTGGGAGAGAGCACTGTACATTCACCCCCCCCACCTCCAATCCCTGCCAGTACGAGACTCGAATCCACAACCTTTGGGTTACGAGGCCGACTCTCTAACAATTAGGCCACGACTTCCCGTTGTAAAGGAAACTGGATGAATTGTATTTGCTAAATGTTCTCTTAAAATGCATGTGACAAACTGAACTTGCATTGACCTGACGTCTTTGTCTTGAGGACACAATTCAATCTTTCGGTTAAAATCTATCATCTATAGTTGACTCTTGCCTGGGTGTATGCCAGTGTGATTTACTGTGTTCACTTGTTTACCTAACAGCTATTATATGATATTGAAATTTCAGTTTGGAGGACATAATTCACTGTCATTTATGAGTGTTTTGAACTACAGTATGCTATATGATTGAAACCATCATGTGACATTTCCCTGTGACAACTTGCCCCGGTCTCCCCTATATTTTTCCTATCAACATTTTTCCTGTCGTAAAAATGGGCGCGTCCATTTGTAAAGTGTATGGGTCTGGCTTCCGGTCTCATCTGCATCCAGCTATTTTTAGCTGTACAAAACAGTTCGTTTTGCTGCTTGATATTGAAAATTGTCTTATCATATTATTTTAATGTATTATCTTGTTTATGAACACACTGGTTTGTAGTGCAAACAGTTTTACCGTTTACTGCACGTTGTTATTTTCCTCGTTATTTACCTATAGTGGTTAATGATCCGGAAGTCTCACCCATAGGCTTACTTCCACGTTGAAGAAAAAGGTGGATACCCAACTAACAGGGAACATCCTCAGAACTTTAGCTAATAGTCTGGCAAGATTCTCTGAAAGTTCTAAACAAACATTCTTCCAGAAACGTCAGTAGAACGTTGGCTCAAAGTTATCTGGTTTTTAATAAGCCTAACGTTCTGAAGACACACACACGCAATGTTATTTGTACTTAGTTCTTGAGACTTTTTTTCTGAAATGTATTAACATTAATCGTTTAGTGGACGCTTAAGCGACTTGGATGTTTGTAGGTTTTTTAAACGTTGCAGAACGTTTCAAAAACGTTTCATCTAACGCCTAACCAGGAATTTTTTTTGAAAACATTAAAGGTGACATAAAATGGAAATCTGACTTTTCCAGGTTTTAAGTGCTATAATCAGGTCCCCGGTGCATCTATCAACCAAGGAAACATGAAAACGATTAATCCAGTAACTTTGTTTTGGTAAGCCTTTTTCTGCAAGTGTCTGAGAAAACGATGGTGTCTGATTTCGCTCCCCTAGTGACGTTGCAAAGGGATCTCATTATAATATTACCGCCCCTTAATCTGTAAGTTTACACCCACGGCGCCGTCATTTTGATTTCGCAAGGTGACAACGGTTCACCAGCTCTAATGCCATGGCGAAAGTTTGAGCAAAACATGCTAACTGTTCTGTCTTTGGCTGCACAGACGAGCACAGAACACTGTTTAGAGTCCCAGCCTCAGAGGAGACAACAGAGCTGGGGATTTATTGATTTATTTACTGTAGGCTATATTGCTGCTGCCACACAGATCAAAAATAAACAAGCGATTTATTTCCCAGCTGTTTACCTTCACAGACATAACCCACTGTTTTTGTAACTGGTGTGTTTTTAACATAAACTGAATGAGAACTTAGTTTAGTGCTCACATGCTGTGACAGCCGCTTTCTGTGCGTGTGCTTCGGATGTGTGCGCTCAGAAAACCGTATATCTGAAGTTTAAACTCATATGGTTTAAAACGCATGATTTCAGCGCGATAAACATAAACACAAATCAGAAGCAAAACAGATGTTTTTAGCAGGTCTGAGCTGCTCTATTATGGAAAAGGGGGCGGGGAGCAGCAGCGAATTAAATTGCATTTAAAGACACAGGCACGAAAAACAGCCTTTTTATGCTTCCACTCAAAATAGACATATTTTCAAAATGATATAATAAATTATCTGTGGAGTATTTTGAGCTGAAACTTCACAGACACATTCTGGGGACACCAGATACTTATATTACATATTGTAAAAAGGGGCATATAATGTGTCTCCTTTAAAGGGGTCATATGATGCTGCTAAAAAGAACTCATATGACCCCTTTAAAACATTAAGAAGTCATTCAGAAATAACCTTTTCACTTAACTTGATTCTGGTTAGTATCTATGTGAGCCATTACGCAGCCACTGAAACAAGGCTCAGAATGTTTACCAAAAAAAAAAAAAACAGTTCTTAAAAGTACCATTTATTTCTTATTTAACATTGTAACACTTTTTCCACTCTAAAGCACATTTTGTGCAGTCGAAAGGTTCCATGGATGTTAAAGGTTCTTCATGGAACCATATCTACCAAGAAATAATTTTTATTTTTAAGAGAGCAAAAATCCTCATATTTATCAAATCTTTAATAAAGACCTATAAATAGTTTTCTGAATTCCAAGAACTAGAGACCCGTTTTCATCAGCTCTTGAATAAGTGTCACGCAATGAGCGCATCACAGCGTCGTGCTGTGAACTGGTGGCGTTTGGTGCTTTCACGCATTCAGACTGATGGAGACTCGCGCGTGAAGCGCCGCAGGTAAGAGTCTGGAACGCACCGAATCTCTCCACTCGATGGGCGAAAATGTCCTGCTATTAGGCTATTTAAAAACAATCAACCACGCAATTCGATTCAGTTTTCCTCTATATGGTTGATGTTATTCTGTCCGTTAAGATGCGATTCACGTTTTGGTTTCAGGTGAAAACGCAGTGGAATATAGGATACATAGGTTTTGCTCATTTCATAATGCGTTATAAAACAAACTTTACGCGTCCAGACGCGCGATACCGTCCGAGCGCAGCTGGTGGGCAAGAAGAAATGGATCATTTGGTTATGAAGCACGAAGTACC